CCTGTGATCTATAGTGTATTCTGTGATCTAGAATGAATCCTGTGGTCTACAGTGTATTTTGTGATCTAGAATGAATCCTGTGGTCTACAGTGTATTCTGTGATCTAGAATGAATCATGTGGTCTACAGTGTATTCTGTGATCTAGAATGAATCCTGTGATCTACAGTGTATTCTGTGATCTAGAATGAATCCTGTGGTCTACAGTGTATTCTGTGATCTAGAATGAATCCTGTGGTCTACAGTGTATTCTGTGATCTAGAATGAATCCTGTGGTCTACAGTGTATTCTGTGATCTAGAATGAATCCTGTGATCTACAGTGTATTCTGTGATCTAGAATGAATCCTGTGGTCTACAGTGTATTCTGTGATCTAGAATGAATCCTGTGGTCTACAGTGTATCCTGTGATCTAGAATGAATCCTGTGGTCTACAGTGTATTCTGTGATCTAGAATGAATCCTGTGGTCTACAGTGTATTCTGTGATCTAGAATGAATCCTGTGGTCTACAGTGTATCCTGTGATCTAGAATGAATCCTGTGGTCTACAGTGTATTCTGTGATCTAGAATGAATCCTGTGGTCTACAGTGTATTCTGTGATCTAGAATGAATCCTGTGATCTACAGTGTATTCTGTGATCTAGAATGAATCCTGTGATCTACAGTGTATTCTGTGATCTAGAATGAATCCTGTGGTCTACAGTGTATCCTGTGATCTAGAATGAATCCTGTGGTCTACAGTGTATTCTGTGATCTTGAATGAATCCTGTGGTCTACAGTGTATTCTGTGATCTAAATGAATCCTGTGGTCTACAGTGTATCCTGTGATCTAGAATGAATCCTGTGGTCTACAGTGTATTCTGTGATCTAGAATGAATCCTGTGGTCTACAGTGTATTCTGTGATCTAGAATGAATCCTGTGGTCTACAGTGTATCCTGTGATCTAGAATGAATCCTGTGGTCTACAGTGTATCCTGTGATCTAGAATGAATCCTGTGGTCTACAGTGTATTCTGTGATCTACAGTGTATTCTGTGATCTAGAATGAATCTTGTCAGTATTTTGTCTCTTTAATCTACCTTGAATTTTTTGCCATTTCTAAATCCCCAAGAATATTTTGCATCAATTT